GGACTTCAAAAAGCGAGCAGATATTGGAAGAAAAGTAGGAAAGGCAAAGGAATCGTGTTAGTTCTTTCTGAAATATTGCCCAATTAAAATGCTGGCTATTCATGTAAGATACATTTGCAACAAGGTACTTACTTTGGAGAGCACTGCCTCCAAGGTAGCACAAATGTGAAACTAGCAATGGAAAGTCACTATGCCTTAAAAAAAACCAAAACCAAAGCAATTATTTCTTGCCCTAAGGAGGGGTGTGCCTGGCTGGGTTGCATAAGGGGAAGTGGGAGCACTGTACTATTAACATTCACGATAAACTACACAGTTAATCATCATCCGGCTAGTCCTTGGTTTCTTTCTTTTTCATTCTGAAGTGTAGGGGTGGTGGTTAGAGGGTTTGTCATTGGAGGGAAAGGGAAATTGAATATTTAATGTGGCTTTCTTTATGACAAGGCACTAACATGACTCCCGTCTGTATTTAAATGCTGTCCCCAGGTTACGACTATGGCTATGTCTGCGTGGAGTTTTCAATCTTGGAAGAGGCCATCGGATGCATGGAAGCCAACCAGGTTGCTTTACAATTCGGTCAATGCTGCTAGAAGATTTTTAATTATTTTTGTTTTGGTGGGGTGGTGGAAAGCCAATGAGGATTTTGTGAAGGAAGATCTGTTCTTGTATAATACACAACGCTGCGGTTTAAATGTTGCTACCAGAATCTTGTACAAGGCTTAGAAACACCAGTGTGGAAGAGCTGTTGGACACCAAATGGTCTGCCCTCCTCCCTGGTGTGTGCCAGCACACTGGCTAAAGTCAGAGCTGGTGTCTGACAGACTCCTAATGCAGGTTTTGACCCTGATGCTTTTGTACTCGCACTGAAATCCAGTTGGGAAGAGCTCTGCTAGCACTAAATGCTTCCCCCGGTTGTGTGTGCACACACATGCGCATGTGACTGTAGATGAGGCCTCTGGTATGCAGCTCTGAGTCAACTGTGACTTGCGTGCTCCATTTTTCCATATGCCTTGTGTGTGGGAGAGATGCTTAATTGTGCATCTCCCCCATATCTATCCTGTCCTTTGGCATACTGGAGCTGCAGCCACGAGGGCTACCCTATGTGCAGTTGAGCCTGGTAAACCTGAATGTTTCCAGCCCTTAAAAGGAGAAAATGGCTGAAATCCCCCCTGAGTAAGTACCCAAGGGGAGCCTTTCGTCTGACCTAATATTTGAGGCTAGAGCTGTTGTCCAGCTTACAAGACCAAGATGCATAAAAATTTGTGAGATAAAACATAGATTCCCATCTCACACCATCCTCCCTGTGCCTTGGAAGTGCAGGTGGTGGATCACTCAACAAAACCTAAACAATTGATCCCCCTTTCTTCAGTGCATCCCTTAAATCTCCTCTCTGCTGCCTTCTTCCTCATCATTTGCCTGAGTAAGAACTCATATCAATTATCTAAAGCCTTTTTACCTGAATCCTGGGTCTCACTGTCATGGGAGGAGAGTTATGAGTCAGATTCAGAGCTGTGCATCTGCAAAAATGTACTTAGTTAATGAGTCTTCACAGCTGGGGTTTCAAAGGTCCCACTAAGTGCTCGCATTTGCCTCTATTTTCAGTTACAGAGGTATTGCAACTTACAGAAATGTTTTACAGAAATAATTCTGATGCTGGGAAAGAGCCTGGCACATTCCCACCGGGGTGGTGGTGAGGAGTATAGGCAGAGAAGGCTCCAGAATTACTGATTGCTTTTACCGTCAGTGACAACTTTTATTTTTCCTTCATTGCTACTACAATTCCCAATTTATTTTGTTGTCACTGGGGAATCAGTAATTACAGATGGCACTCCTTTTAGCCAAATGCCTCTCTGTATTCTTTCCACCATTCTGCTCACATGAAATAACGTCTTCCTATGCAAGAGCAATTCCCACGTATCTGGGAATTTGGGAATCCCTCTTTTTCCTATTGTTGATGCATACTCTGCCCTTTCTCCCATTTGGAATGTATAGACTTGGGCAGGTGATTGACTTGATCAGATTTGGTCCATTGCTACAGCAAATAGCCTGTAGGCACCAATCTGTAAACTGAACTGAGTGCCTGGAAGTGCCCAGGAAATAACTGCACACACATACAGGGGAAGTTCTGGCTGGTATTCTGCTGCTGTGGCAGTTACAGCAGGCCTTCACAGGCTGGGGAATGTTTTCCTGTGGTTCCCTTCCAACTTTCAGGTTTGGTGCTGCCAGAGCCCTGCTAGTGGTCCCAGTGGTAATGGTTCCAGCTGTGCACTCTACCTGGGACATATTAAAAACGGAGAGGGTATGAAGTCTTCCAGTTTTCTTCCTGCTATACATGGCTCTGTATGTGTGCAGAGGAGACCTGGAACATGGAGTGCTTGGAGGGGATCATCTCCAAAGCCTGCATGTGCCAGTCTTCGCAATGTTTTAGTAGACCTACAATAGCTAGTAATTAATGAAGTTAGAAATGTGGGGTTTGGGGTGATCCAAGCTGTATGAACTTGGTCAGGAGAGCTGTAACCTCTGGTTTGCCCCACAAAGGTTAACTTCTCTAATTTGCTTTTGATTGAATATGAAAAAAAAGACCTCATTATTTCAATAAAAAGTAGCAAGATTTCTATCTGACTTGCTGCAAGGGAGATAGGTAACTTCTAAGTTCTCAGTAAAAGCCAAATAGAGATACTCAGAAAGGGAGTTATGAATTCAGTTGTCCATAAAGGATAGATATCCCACTTTAATGTCTTCCAGGGCAGAGCTGTAAGATCATCTCCTTAGGCTGAGAATTAATCCGCATTTTTGCAAGCTGCAAAACCCAAAACCTGTGTTAGCTAAGACACAGATTCTTAGATAGTTCAGTTATTTTCAGAAGGTTATCAGCTATCCCTGTCAAATTCAGTCACTTGTGAGAGCATAAATAGCAAGTGACATCCTGGTCCCTGTCTAGTCAACCTACCTCTTTCTCAGGCATCTGCAGACTGGGAATAAATAGCTTGTGCAGAAACAGTGGGGATTTTGATGCTCTTTAATGCCTGTTTATCTGCCCCTGCCTGAAGAACAATTTGCTATGGCCCTCTATTGTATAATTCTGATATTGTGAAATCCTTTTATTTTACTTGGCAGAAACCAACACCCACTTAAGATCATTGCCAAATTTGTGAACTACAGATTTACCAGGTCCAACTCTGTCAGTTCAGTAAGCCTTAGCAAGTGTATGTGACTACTGAGATTTGAGGTGGCTTTCTGTTACATACATTCTGATCAGGAAACATCCATCTTGTATGTTGCCCCAATTTTCCTGGAGAATTTCATTCCCCTTGTATTCATTACCACAGCTAAAGTAACAACAACGTCCCCCTTATTAATTGCTTTGCCTTGTTATCGTTGCATCGGCAATTTATCGCTCCAGGGTCCCATCTAGTGTGTGCGAAAGGTGCTGGGTTGCCGTTATTGCTGGTGTGGAGGTGCTGGTCACAGGGCTGACTGAGCCAGATGCCAGCTTTCCCACTGCATTTTGGGGGGCTCTTTGTCCTGGCAGGACAGATGGGCTGTTGAGTTGTTGTGCAGACCCTGGGTGCGGCCCTTGTTGTAGCCTGATGGTTGGTGATGCTCCTGGTGGCCTTTTGTTACAAGTTGGCTATTATGTGAGATCTCTTTCTGTCTGTGATGAGCTGCTTTTCCACTGGGGAGAGACATGTATTTTGAATGGAAAATGGGGTTTCTACCAAGTCACATGGTTTCTTCTAAATAATCTTTCCCTCCTTTGTTCTCATTTTTGAAAGGCTGTGGTGTGATGTGGCATTTGCCTTACTGTGTTTTCTTTGGTGTAGCCCCTGGTGTAGTAGTGTTCCTGTCTTGGGAGCACCAGGTTGGCTACTTGGAAGCAACTTTTGTAATACATCCCAAGCCTTCTCCATATGTATTGGGATCTCTCTGTAGAAGAAACAGGCATAACAAGCTTGTTACTAGGTGTGAGAAAATCAGGTGGAAATGAAGTACCCTTCGTGTACTGACGCGTGTCATAAAGCCTGTCTCTGCTGCCTGGATATTTTAATGTTTTCACTGAGATAGAGCTGGTTATTATGCACATGGAAACAGAAAGGGTTTTTTTAAGCTTAGGAGCAAATGATTTGTCTCAGCTAACTCTCTAGTATTGTCTCCAAATCCTCTCAGGCCTCAAACTTAGCAACACTGGCCGCATGAATATTTCCTAGCTTTGTTGATAGTAACTAACAGCTTTGTAATCCTTTCCTCCTGTTTCTTAAATAAGGGGGCAATAATAGGGAGCTACAGCATGAACTTATAAAAATGCACGCATTGTAAATTATTGTGCAGGTCTCCAGGAGCATGCTAGAGTGGTCTTTTCAAGACTTGCTCTTGTACCTTCCTGCACTGAGGCTGACATATGTCAGAGCTCTTCTGTTACTGCCATCCTGGTTCAGCGTGCTGAGCACAATGATACCTCTGTTCCCTGACTGTTTCTTACTGGAGAGGATAAGAGGGTCTCTTACTGGATTTTGTGGGTGCTTGCTTTATTTGAGCATGTCCCACCCCTGTGCGACTGGAAGCATGAGCTGTGCGTTTCTCCTGCTCTGGGCCTATCCCTGCGTATCCATTCAGTGCAGTGCCTTCCCGTGTTCTCTGTGAACAGAGATTCTGGTGCAGATAGGACTTCACAGGCTTTTTGCTGTAGCTGTTGGTGTTAAAATCCACAAGATGCTGTGACAAGCAGGCAAAGCTTAGGACTTTCTGTCCTGAAAACATCGACAGTAACAAGCCACAACTCTGTGGCTTCCCAGTTAAATACAGAAGGAGCGTGTGGTTATCCTGAAAATGGAACTTCTGCTGTGACCTGTAGCCATGGAGTATTTATTGAAGCCTGTGGTGAAAGGAGTGTGTTGTAATTTGTAAGAGAAAATGTGCATCCAAACATCAGAAATAATTGTTTTCCTTCTGGTAGGATATGCTGAGTTGTGGAGTCTGGCATTTTTTCTAGAATCTGCCAAATGCCCCCTGTAATGGAAGATGACACCTGCCTCAAGTGTATTTTCATGGGCTGTCTGGTATCTGTCATTTACTCACTTGGCAGTATCACTCCATCTCTTTAGCTTTAACCTGCAGTTGAGGGTGATGGTGACAATTGAGGGTGTCCACGACTACACTGAAATCCATTTCCATGTTAGGCTAAGGGTGCTGGAGATGGTCTTGGTTTTGATCTGTCTTCCTTGGACCACCAGCTGACATTATCTTTAGCTTTTCTTGTTGCATATTAGGTGTGTGGATTTTGCTCAAGTTGTATCATTAGCACATCTTTTTTTTTTTCCTCTGTGAAACCTGTCCTGCTTTTGACTGTGTGGATTTCTAGAATCTCCTCTTGGAGTCTTCCACTTTGAGTACATGTTTAGAGAGGGAAAAGTCTTGTATACATAGGCAGTGTTTCTTCTATTAACATCCTGATGGCTTGGGGAACATGCACACTGTGGAGGAATTTTTATAAACCACCTGACCTATGGAAAATTCTCTCCATAGAAGAGCAGACGAGTGGATTTCCAGGCAGCAGAGCTGA